TGAAATGCTGGATTTTGAAGTCCCAGACAAGAACTAGTGGGAGAAACATAAACCAAAACAAAGCAGTCTACCAATTGAAGCATTATAGAAATGGACACACATGCACGCACATGCACACCCGTTTTGAGGAAATAGAATGTAAACTGAGGTTGACAGGCAAGGGCAAAAGGTTGAAAGTGAAGGATGGACTCTAAATTTGGAGTCAATTTTTCTAGTATAACTGCAACTCCAAAACTGGAATTAAGGAGCTGCTGAGATTTTTCTCCCTATCATTGATGGGGTTAAATTATGAAGCATGCTAAACGATATTCTGAAGGGGGGCTGTATCCTTGTCAATCACCAAATAATTATGGACAGAGGATGACAAGACCAGAGCTTGCAAATTATTCTGCCTATGTTGTGAATTGAACACACAGGGCCTGCAAAGTGGCCAAATATTGGGAGAATATTAAAATATTTTGATAATGGTAATAAAAGAGGTGGTTGTGGAGCTGATGAAAAAGCATAGCATCCATCAGAAATTCAAAGTACCCTTGAGACTTGATAAGATGTGAAAGAGGCATACATTGCAAAAAAGAAATTTTAGTGCAGCAACATAGTTACATATTGATTGCAGAAATATTGACTACATTGCACGGTGCTTTCTTTTTTGAGAATTAACTTATCTTTATAGAAGCCACGTCATTCTCATACACAGGACACTAATGTACATGCTTTATTTAAATAAGGAGAAGACGAGGCAAAGTCTTACACCTCAAGTGTCCACAAGTACCCACAGGTGTCAGCAGGGCAGCTGCATGGATTTGCAGCACAGCTAGCAAGCAGGACCGGCTCTAAGGAGAAGGGGCTCCCAAAGCAGCCCAGGACCAGGGACTTTTACTGTGCTTTCTGAGGGACATTTACTTTTCTAAAAAATATTTTTTCTTCAGGAATTAAAAACAGAACCCCAGTCTAAACCCCCCATTGCTCCCAAACACACACACATTGCTTTTTGGAAACTAATTTAAAAATTGCACTCAACAATATATTAAGGAACATAAAGCAATGGCATTTTCTACTGATTTTTCCTCAATGTTCCAACCCCATGATTTACTTGAAAAATACAAAGTTGCAATATCTGTAACCCCATCATAGTTCAGTTTTCTAATCTTATACATTGAAGCCAGAAGGATATGTTTTTGTGTATTAATGAAATTTAAAACAACCTAGGACTATTTTAACAACCAAAATATTACTACTTGGTTTTTCACCAGCTGGAACTCTGGAAGATCAAATCAATCACTGACCAACTCATAGCTGCTAGGCCAAACCATGCTTTTAATTATACTTAAGTTGGAAGAAATACCACTTTCTGATTAGAATAATCATTCTATTTATTTATGCTTATTTTCCACTAGATGAAAAAAATCCTTGAGGACAAGGATATGACTTTTATTTATGTACTGTCAGACTTGAACCAATGGTTGGCATTTAATAAATAATCAAAATGTTTATGAATAAATGACATTTAAAAATATAACACTTACATAGAACCTACTATGCACAAAGCAACTACCCAAATGCTTTACAAACAGCAATGTATTTAATCCACATTAAGTGAAATACTTTAAATAGATTTAGCCTTTATAACCCAGTAAGGTTGAATTACTTGCCCGATTTGTGCAGCCAAACTGTGATGGAGCCAGGAGTTCTGCCCAAGCACAGCTACGTCAGAATCTTTTCTCTTACCTTACGCCACTTGCAAATAGATGCTGTCTTTAAAACTTTAAGAATATCAATATTCATTTGATATACATTTTTAATTACACAATTGAACTCAGAATAAGAAGGTACGGACAGGTTTGAGTATATCTTTAGTTTGTTTCATTTGTTGGCATTAAGCAGTTTATCAGCATAACAGAACCTCAATTTTCTCATATATAAAATTGGGACAGTAGTTTGTTTTTTTAATCTCAAAAGCTTATTATGAGTTTTACAAAACTCATTTGTATGAACACACTAGAACACAATTGACACCCAGCATGTTACTTAGTATGCCAAGGAGAATGGTTTTTAATCTTTTCCTTCTCCCCTTTCAAAAGGTATGTGTTTGCACATTGTATATCATATAGGTCTTAGCAAAAGGAAATAATATTCTTTGCTTCATAAAGCATTGTTTTTTAAAAATATTTCTTGGAGTTAGAGTTCATGTACTAAAGCATTTTCTGGATGGCCAGATAATTTGTTTTCTGGGAAAATATTTTCTTGGGGTCTGTTATGATTTAAACATCTACCATCAAGGAATAATTTTTTCCAATTAGAATAATCAAGTTATATGCATCACATATATGGAAAGAAAGAATAGACCAGCAATACAACAAATGACATTTATGTTACCAAGATCCTTCAACATTAATGAGCTCAATGAAATCCAAATTAGACCAGAAATTCAATAAGTGACACTTATGTTCACCAAGCTGCTCCAACACTAACAGATTCTACCAAAACTGTATCAGCTGATTCTCATTAGCCATGATTACATGTTATAATCATCTAAAGGCATACATCAATATACAGACCTCTTACCCAGATATTGTAGTTTAAAGAGGTTGGGTAGGGTCAGGCATGCTTTTTTTTCATTTCTTTCATTAAAAAATTCTGTCAGGAATTTCAATTTGTGGTAAAAGTTGAGCACACCAGCTCAAGTTATCAGTGAAACAACACTGGCCCCTTATTCTCACTTTATCTTTACCACTTTAAAAAACTAATTTAATTAATTACTTTGCCTTAATAAACACCCACAAGAGGTAGCATTTTCATCCAAATCCACACTGAAACAGTCTATGGGAGTTTTCATAGAGAACAGAGATGCCACGGCGCGATCACACTAAGATTTAGCTTCAATTTTTTAATTACTTGAAACAAAGGATATTTTTATTAATTGCCTTCTTCCCTAATTATAAATAAATGGGAAATAGAGGCCATATTAATATAAAGATGATGACCTTTGTGCCTATTAATCATAAAACAATACAATTGTATTATTAGTTATATGACCTTGAGGTCAGTTATAATGAGGACTTAATATTTTCTGTTTTCAGTGTGTTGGTAATGTCAACAAGCAATAACCATTTTTACAGCATGGTAATATGGTAAATAAAATATTATTCCCATGCTTTTAATTGTTAAAATTAATTGTAGGCAAGAGTCATTGTTGATCCAAAACAAATCCCAGGCGAGGGCTGCTTGGGACTGTTGAAAAGAGACCAGAAATGAATGCGAAGACTGGCTGACTGGAAAGCACTGAAAATCCAGTCATCCTGGTTCCTCTCATCATAAAAGCACATGAAACCAGCAATTCCAACCTTTTAAAGCTGAATTATTTAAACACTGAAAGCATATTAAGCCAACAACAAGCTATTGCAGATTATAGTTAGCAAACAAGCAGCATTAAATGCATTTCCACTTCATTATTAAGCCAACAACAAGCTATTGCAGATTATAGTTAGCAAACAAGCAGCATTAAATGCATTTCCACTTCATTATTAAGCCAACAACAAGCTATTTTGCAGACTATATTTAGCAAACAAGCAGCATTAAACACATTTCCACTTCATTATTAAGCCAACAACAAGCTATTGCAGATTATAGTTAGCAAACAAGCAGCATTAAATGCATTTCCACTTCATTATCAAGCCAACAACAAGCTATTGCAGATTATATCTAGCAAACAAGCAGCATTAAACACATTTCCACTTCATTATTAAGCCAACAACAAGCTATTACAGATTATATTTAGCAAACAAACAGCATTAAATGCATTTCCACTTCATCCTTAAGGCACATCAATGGGTTTGACTATATAAAATACTTGTCTTCTATAATCATTTCAGACACTGAAACGTGGACTCTCAGCTGTTTTAAGATTAACTTCAGGAACATGGTCAACCTTAGTTTATTGTGAACTTTTGGTCTCAGTTGTCCAATTATTTCAACAAATATCCTGGACTTGATGTGTTTGCTCAGAGCCACTTAAACCAGAGAGGTGGCTGTGGACTCCTGCAGATCGTCCTTCCCTTTTTTGGTTTGCTATCTTATATTAGATTAAAGCTGTCATTATATACTGCTAGGTGCATTCCAGAAACAAAGCTGGCAGCACAGGTGACAAATCTAATTGCATTGTTAATTTCTGACTTTGGATTTCCTCGCACCTCTGGGAAAAGGACTGTTTTGAGAGGAGGAATTAATTTGCTGAAATGTTTCTTGCTGTCTTTCACCCAGGCTTTGGAAACAGCATCACGAAAAAGAGGGCTCTTTTGGAAACTATGCACACAACAGATTTTTCCTAATAGGTGTGAAGAATGGCTGCTATGCATAAATGATTGTTGGAAAATAATTCTTTGTAAAACATGACCAAACAAGCAACCCCATCCACTACTGTACTCAAATCCAAGATCATTCCGAGACTGAGAGCAACGCCACACATTTTCTAGATGCCGACATTCCCCACTTGTTACTTACTAAACACCTATTAGGAAAAAAGCCCCACAACTTTAATTTTAGAAATTGTTATACCCAATAAAACTGAGACCAAAACATTTGAAATAAAATTCATACGAATAATAAATTAATAGGAATAATATAATATGAATAATAACAAAACTCACAGTAACCAGAGCTCCTCAGCGTAACATTGTCAGCTATACCAGGTTCCAACGACACCTATTTTTCCTCTAATCACGGCGAAGTGAAACAACGCAGACCAACTGGACAGACACCTTACAAGACAGCCTCTAGCATCACAATCAAATTGCAGTTTTGCAACTTCCAAAGACACCCATTTTTCCTCTAATCACGGCAAAGTGAAGCAACGCAGACCAAGCAACAGACGCCTTACAAGAGAGCCTCCAGCATCACAATCTTGCAATAAAAACACCAAAGTATCAGTGTCACCACCACCTCTAGCTATTCCCGGGACCCCCAAATCTTTAAATTCCACCCACCCCTCAAGCCCTTCTTACCAGGAATTCTCTCACTAGGCGTCTGGACACAGCACCGGCGTTCTCGGGAACTCAGGCGGCACTGGGCATCTCCCGGGCAGGAGATGCCAACCTCGGGGTGAGGTGCGCGAGTGCACACCTCTCCAACCAGGAGGCTCCGCAAGCCGCCAAGGCGCAGCCCACCCAGGGTCTTGGGGGGCTGGCTTCCCTAGTTTAATGTGAGAGCAAACTGCGTTAGTCTTGAGCACTTTCTGTTGCCCCGCTCCCAATTTCCAGGCACTTTAAGCCTTCCTTTAAAAAATAGGTTTAAAGCCCAAGGTTGTTAGCTAAGCTCTAGGCAAGGGGTCCTTTCCCCGGGTGCTCTCTGCTCGCCAAAGCGCAGAAGGCTCACCTTAGCGGAGCCTGCCTCTGCTCGCTCCGAGATGAGGCTGTGCGCAAACTTCTCCGACTTAAGTCCTTTTCGGTGCGCGCCACCCCCGCCTCTTGCCCACGCGCGGCCGAGGGGGGGCGGACGATCGCAGAGCCGGCCCCGCCCGGACCCTCCCAACACGTCAGCCCCTCCAGCCCTCGGAGGGAGGGGCTAGCAGTCTCTCCGTGCTCCTCCGGCCCCCGCGCCCCGGCGGGAGAGGGGCTTCGCTCGCCGCCGCTTCTCCACCCCCCAAGAGTCACCGATACCCCTGCGCTCGGAGCCCCGGGAAGCAGGAAAGGGACCCTAGTTAGTACTGGCATAGGGAGAGATTAGGGGGTCGACAGATTGGGCAGAGAGATCGTAACCCGTCCCTGGAGGCAGCTTTCTGGGAGTCCAGCCCCTTCCCCGGAGGATGCAAATTCCATAGGGAGGTGAGTTTCCCAAAGAACCCTACCTCAGCGAGAGTGGCACCCTAGTTCCAAGAGCGGTCACTCCAGGGGACCGCACAAGAGATCCGGTAGACAGTGCGGTTTGTAGTGGGGCGCGGTAGTAAAATTGGGCTGGGGGCGTGAGAAAACAGCTGACCAAGACCCGGAGAGCTGAGTAAGGAGCGCGGAGGCAGAGGGTAAGAAAAGACCAGAGGGTCCAGCAAGCCCCGGACCACTCTGGATTTGGGCAGGTGCAATCTAGGGTGCAGGTTGGATTTGGGGGGACATTCCCTCCACATAAGAGGATGTTGCTGGTGCAGTTTTTAGGGTGAGTGACAAAAGTGAGGACAGCTAGGAAAGGACAGAATCTGAGGTGTCCCGACTTGGTCTGGAAGACAATTACCCCTTCTCCACTGAAAGCCAGCAGGAGCCCGGGACAGTCTGATTCCAGGCAGGGCAGGGAGCAGGGCAGGGCGGCAGGGCGCAGTGGGGACTGTCAGACTCACCTTGGGAGGCTGGCAAAGTTGCTTCCAAGGGCGGGCTGTCCTCCACCTTCTTATGTCCTGAGCTGGGTGCAGCCAGGCAGCAGCTGACACTTTTCCCCAAACTGTTCTAGGAAAAGCAGCTACCTGTGTGTCCCGGGAATGCAAAGTGGCTGTAGCAGAGGTTTCTAAGGCGCCTGAGCAAAAGCAAGAGTGATAATAGGACAGGGGAGGGGAGAGCCAGCAGCAACCCAAAACACTTCCCTAGACACTCAGAGGTTAAAGCGCTTGGGCAGTTCTGAGTGACAGAGATGCAGGTGTCTTGTGAAAAGGGCTACAGCTCTTGCTGCTCATCCATCCTTGGAGATCAGTGACTAGGCAAAAGTGTGTGTGCTCCTGTCCTAACTTGAATCCTGACTCTTCAACCCAAAGAAACTACAGGGGCCCTTAGTTTGGGACCTTCATTGTCCCAGTGGAAGACAGAGTCCCAGGACAAATCAGCTCTTCCTTGGGGGGTCGTCTTTGCAGGCTCCCTTCTAAATACCTCCTCCCTTCCCCTGCCACCTTCAGTCTGGTGACCCAGAGGGCTGAGTGTGACTCATCGTGCATTCAAACCTAAATCACCACCCCACTGCAGGGGAAGAGCCCTTATCCCCTTCATTTCCGGGGATCTAAGTGGCAATAATATTGTTAACAGTATGAACTGCGACAAGGAAAGGGTCTGGGCATTTGGGGGCAGAAGGAGGTTTGCAAAGAAACACGCTGAGCAACAGAAACAAAAGCTGTGCGTGAAACTTTCTATTTGTACAATCAATTTGTGCTAATGTAAGAACTTAAAAGAGACCCTCTAAATTCAGCGTTTAGATGCAAATCTTGACTGTGTGCTTTAGCGTCTGTACTGGGCTCAGGAATCTGATTTCCCAGTTGCTGCTAGCCAGCCGACATCTAATCAGACCTTTTCAAAATTATTTCTGAAACCTCATTTGCTTTCTTTGGGTGCAAACAGCACAGAATTATTAAAACTGTTTGTGTATCTCCTTTAGCAACTGTTGGGGGATCAAATGTGGAGAATTCTCCTTTCGTAGCCGAAACCACTAAAGTATCAATGAATTAGGGGAAACAATTGGTGAGAGGAAGTGTCACTGGCCTGGCTTTGAGTGACACAGCAAGTGCAGGCAGATTAGTGTCTGTCCTTGTTGTTTTGTTGTTGCTGTTCGATGGTCCTGGGGCGTCCCACCTTACTGGTAACAAACACTAGTATTCTGAGAGCAGTTTGGATTTATTTCTACAATGCCATGGAGTTAACATGATTCACATTTAAAAAACCCCCAATGTCTAAGAATTAGCAAGCAACAGCACACGTATGTTAGAAAGCCTCAACCATGTGTGCTGTAAGCATAGGCAACCTCCACAAATTAGGGTGCTAATTGTGTCCCAAATAATCTTGGAGAAAAAAGAAGTCACTCTGGTCAGACTTCAGAGAAGGTGAAATAGCTGGAGCAGGAAGGGATGCAACTCCTGTCTCTCAAGGGGATTAAATTGACTTTGCCTGCTACATTCATTTATTAATACCAAAGTTGCTATGCACCTGTTGGCTGGATGCACTTGGAATAACGTTGTTGTCTTAATGCTTCCGAAATATTTTCTGTGTGGTTTCCAGAGGGCAGAAGTGGCTGGGGGGACCATTGGCTAAGAAGGCTTTGCATGGTGCTGTTGATCTTCTGAGAGCTGCTACTTTTTCCTAAAATCAGTTTCGTGACACGGAATAAAACATAGCAGAGTGGAGCGTTTGGGAAGCACGGGTGGGGTTTCTTGAAAGTTCAGTCTCACTTCTGTATGTCTGGACCATACTGCCAACAAAAGGTTTCTTCCTGGGGGTTTATAATCTCAGGTGATGGAAACTTGGTTTGTGTTGAGCTCTGCTTTTCAAACAGGATGTCTAATATTTGTAAACAAACCTTTGAATAAAATAAATTTATCAAAAGAGTATTCAGGAAATAATCACCTTAAAATGGATAATTCTACATCTCTGGAATAGTCACTGATTACTTTTGACTTCAAATGCTGCAGCTTTATGGAGGTTTTTTTTTCCCCCTCTTTCTGTCTCTCTTTAAACATTTGTCCTTTAGGCAGCTGTGTGTTTAGGGAAACTCAGTTATCAATCTTGACTTCTGTGTTTGGAGACTGAAGAACTAGCTGCTTTAGAGGCAAAGTCCACCTCTGTCTTTAAAATTCCCAAGTTTCATTGCCCAGAGTGTGGAGTCTTGCCACTAATGCAATAAGGAGCCTGCCTTTCGGCTGGCTGGAAAAGCCCTGGTATCTGCCGGTGTCTGTTCTTCTGCACCTGTGTTACAGGCATGAGCTGCTGGGCAGGTGGGTTCTGGGGCTTGGGACTAAGTCCATCCTTGCACAGTGAACCTGTATTTGTGGAGCCATTTCTCTAGCCCAGGTTTGTTCTCCTTTTAAAAGATACCTTGACAAAAAGTTCCTCTCGGGGAGCTAATCTGAAGCTTTAGTAATTCCTAATAGACAAAGCTTTCTTTTATTGAAACTCATTCCAAGCCTTTATGCACCATTTAAAGCATATTTAATATTTCTTGGGTTTATACTACACTGGACTAGCCACTGCCTGTGGGACACAAATATTATAAAATGCAATTGCCGCCCCCAGGAAGCCCGCAGTCTCTACAAGAATACGCCTCTCTCTCCCTTTTTAGCCTTCTTCCACGCACAGCAGCTGGTGATCGCCGTGTATGTAATTACCCTTCAGATTTACAGACCTCGGGATGACAGTGAGAATAAGAATTCACCTTGGTGAAAAATATTTTTCCCCTTGAAATAATTTGGACTTTGGCCTGATTGATCAGGCTTTTCTGCAAGGAAGTCGGCTTTGACTTTCAGGCTCTTTTTCTGAAATGGAGCGGATGCATCTCTCTCACAGGAGGCTGTGCAGTCATATTTCTCAGAAGAAAGCATCTCCTGACACAGAAAACAAAACACCAAATTAAAGCAAAGCCCAATAACAAATTCCACGTGAACTAGGAATTGCCTTTCCTAATTATACTTAGTATAAACTTTACTTGGGTTAACTGTTAACTCAGTGAATAAATAACCCAGAGTAGGAGGCTGTGGCAGGCCATACACCACTGGGTAGTAATGGAAACTAATTATTCCAAGTCTGATGAAGTTGGGAAATGGGTACTTCCTGTTTTATAAAGAGAATTCCAGAGAGAAGCCCAGGAGCCGGTGGGGGGGGGGGATCTGCAAAAACAAATGTATGCATCCATTCATTAAAAAAAAAAAAGACATGAATAATTGAGCATGGAGAGCTTACATGTAGTGGGGAGGGGAGGCAAATGATAAGCAGAATGAGCAGTGGTTAATTTCAGACACTGATGGTATCAAGGAGATTGCTGACAGCCGAGAGGCAAGCTTGGCAATGTTGCTCTACATGTCAGGGGAGCTTGTCTGTGAGCTGAGACCTGCACACCCCCTGAGGAAAATCCTCATGATGTGCTTGTCCCTCCTCACCCCCTCTTATAGGTACCATTTGGTCAGGAATCTTCACACTGGGATTGTGCATGTGTGAGCCTGTGTGTCTTTGTAAAAGGCTCTCTGTAATTTAGTCCTATTTGGTCTGTGCTCGGGAATTTGTAAGATGGGAGGCGTGGGATCAGTAGCCACAATTTTCTGTACTTCTGAGGCTGCTTCATATTAAGTTATATTAGGAGAGAAAGAAAACTCTCACATGGTACTAATCTTTTAGCTTAAATTGTCAGGATATCTTGTCAGAGTGCTAAGCGGAATATACAGCTTCCCCTAGAGTTTCAGCAAAAACTTAAATGATCTTTAATAGCTGTATTGCCGAACTTTCTGTTTTATAGTAAAAAAAAAACCAGAGTTATGTATCGGCTCTTTGCCATTGAATCCTTCCTCTGGACTGTTTTATTTTGCTAAGCATCAACAGCATTATCCTAATTCTATGATGCAGGCATATTTCATTACGGTTGTACAGGTGTATCGGCAGATGCTGAGTGTTTTAGATGTTTTGACAAAGTAACCAAGATTCGACTGCAGGGTGATTAATTTGTACACATACTGGATGGCAGTGTTTCAGTTAAGGCAAGAATGGGGATCACCTGCACCCTCAGTTCCAGCACTGGCTGGTAGGAGAGCAGAGGGAGAGAGAAATGCGCAGGGCTGTCTGTAAGGGCATAGGGTCAGACCGTCTGCTTCGCTTCCAATAGGCTGGCTTCCTCAATTAAAAAGGAAAAAACAAAAACAAAAAACAAAATTGTATGATTCCAAATAGCAGGAGAGGCCCATGCTAGGCATCTATAAATATTCCAGAAATAGATTTTAATTATAGTGATTTTTTTTCAGAGACGGTGACAAAAGTGTACAGATCTTTCAAAGGCAGAAAATTGCAAAAAGCCAAAAACATCTCCAGTGCTAAGAGACAAAAACGAACTGGGGATGAGGAGAGGGCTGCAGGGCCGGAAGGGACTAGGAAAGAGCATG